ATGTATGTATGTATGTATGTATGTATGTATGTATGTATGTATGTATGTATGTATGTATGTATGTATGTATGTATGTATATATGTATGTATGTATGTATGTATGTATGTATGTATGTATGTATGTATGTATGTATGTATGTATGTGTGTAGGTAGCTAGGTAGGTAGGTAGGTAGCTAGGTAGGTATGTATGTATGTAAGTATATATGTGTGTATATGCGTGTATGTGTGTATGTGTGAGTGCGTGTGTGTGTGCGTGTGTGTATGTGTGTATGTATGTATGTATGTATGTTTGTATGTATGTATGTATGTATATCTGTATTTATGTGTGTGTGTTTGTGTGTGTGTATGTATGTACATGTATTTATGTATGCTAACTTATAATTCAGTACATACTTGAGCCTTCATTTCCGCCTCCTACGCAGGAATACCTCAGTTTGTCACCCTCCATGTTGCAGGTGCAGCTGTCGTAAGTTTTGCCATCAATGGCGAAGGAAAAGTTTTCACCTTGCTCATGACATACTCCGGCAACGTCAGTGCAGCCTGAAACATTGAACAATAAAACTTTTATCATCTTTCTTTAAGGAGATGGAATCTGTACCTTTTCTTTAAGAAACTTTATTTGACAAACGAGTGTTTTAATAACTCTTTTATCATCTTTCTTTCAGGAACCTGTACCTTTTCTATATGGAAACTTTATTTTACAATTAATGAGTGCTTTAAATATGATGTGATGTGGGCCATTAGCCGCACTGAATAAATGTACTTACTTTTAGGAGATGGATATCTAAGCTGAAAGCAAAAATCGGCCTCAAAATCAACCTTGATAGATAGATAGATAGATAGATAGATAGATAGATAGATAGATAGATAGATAGATAGATAAAAAATAGAAAAGTCGGTCGCTGGCCAGTGAAAATCAGTAGTCGATCCGTGTGTGAAAAGGGACGCCATTCCTATTCTTCTTCACGGGAACCGAAAGAGAGCTGCTAAAAATAGCAACTGCAGCGCCATCTGAGAATAAGCGCGTACCGCCAAGGACGTTTGTTCGGCTGACTGAACCATCCTGTTGTGTAGGGTCTTTGGCTTAGGTGTGGGATCAAATAAAACGATCTAGGGGTCAACCAGTCTGCCACCCAGTTAGTTTGGGGGCTCTCGTGGCATAGAGGTTAAGGTGTTCGCCTCTCATTGAGAGGTCCCGAGTTCGAATCCGGATAGGGACGGAAAAAATTTATGTTCTAAAATTGTTTCCTTTCGCCTCCTTTCATGCTCTATAGCACTTTGCTGTCGTCTGCTTTCGTCTCCACTTTCTGCCCCCGCCCCCTTTGCACCCGTCTCTGGGATCCTGACTCTTTCTGCATCCTTTCTACTGCTACACCTTGGTTCCTTCTTACAGTTGTCTTTCAGCCAAGGTAGGAAAGATCTACACCTAGCCTTCTTGGACAAGGGCTTAAAATCTCGGAAGTCCTCTGAGCAAATTGCGCACCTTAAAGATCCATTGGTGGTCTAAAATCGACAAGAATAGGCTTCAGCCGCCACCCGGCAAAATTCAAAATTTCCTACCAACTTAAAATGTTTGGTGGGTCCCGCACGCTCAATCATATGACCTTATGTAGTTGTGAGCACGATAAAACACTTAACGAACACCCCCCCCCCAAAAAAAAGGGGTTAACATAATTTGTTGAGAGGAGGAGTTTCAACAGAAGCACTCACGTGTTTTTACTTTGCTCCCTTTGTAGTTGTTCCCGTCCTTGATACAGCGGTACTTATGACACTGGTAGTCGTACTCCTGGCCTACTGGATAGCACACAGAGTATATCTCACAGCCTGGGGAGTTCATACGTTTTGGATGTATTAAAGTTGGTCTAAATAATAAGTCTACTGATTTAAGCATACTAAAGTATTTACTTTAAAATATTAAAAAGGTGTCGATATCATTATCATCATTGTCGTCGTCATCATCGTATTCATCATCATCATCATCATCATCATCATCATCATCATCATCATCATCATCATCATCATCATCATCATCATCATCATCATCATCATCATACTGATTTAAGCATGCTAAGCATTTACTTAAAAATTCAAAAAAAGGTGTCGATTTCATCATTATCATTGTCGTCGTCATCATATTCATTATCATTATCATCCTCTTCCTCATCATCATCATCATCATCATCATCATCATCATCATCATCATCATCATCATCATCATCATCATCTTTATAGACATCATCATCAAGCCAAACTGTTATTAGAATATTCTTTTGGGGTCATTTGACTAGACCTCTGTGGAACCGGGTGTACAAAGGATTCCAAATCTAAACGAAACACAGCAATTTGTTATACCAATACAACTGGCAATAAATCGTTGCCCTCTTTAGTCAAGTTTTCCGTAAACAAGAGGAGAACTGCTTTCAAGTGGATGCCCAATACCATTCCCTCCCATCCATCCAAACCCCACTATTAATAAAAAATCCATACCTTTCGCCCCCC